GACTCTTCGTATATGTGCCTCGAGATGCGTACGATCCAGAAGCGGAAACCCTCACGGCGAGCAGAAGTGCAATGGACCTGACGCCGGACCCGACATAACAACATCTTCGACTTCGCTTGCTGGCAAAATTAAACATACTGCAGGCGATCATCGAGGAGCGAATCGCTAAGGCGAACAACACTCGGCAGCAGGCCCAGGCTAAGAATTGGATCGAATCGCTCAAACCACATGGCCAAGTAGACATCTGGAGGACGCCCACTAGAAAGGAGCAGGACGGTTGGAGAGGTCCAGCAGAGTTCATCAGCTTGGACAAGGATAAGGCGGCAGCGATCGTTATACATTAGAATCAACCGTACAAGATACCGACGCGACATATGCGAGCAAGACGCTTGAGTTACTTTTCACTGGGCACCTACTTGGACGACTTCCAGATCTACCTACAGGGCGAGCAGACCATGAAGCTGACGCAGCTATTCGAGATCATCGAAGGTACACCACCAGGAATCGCACATCGTATTGGAACCTTCAATGGACAGACGACACCACCTGAACTAATTCAGGATCCCTCATCGACATGGCTATTGGCACTGCAGGTGGGTACCACAATTTTCAAGATGACGAGCGTAGACGGCATGATCTATGGATGTGGCATCCGACAGGTGAGAAGCATTGAGGAGTTCACGCATGGAACGATAGTCGCCTGGATGGACAATCATCGGAAGGATTACTACAGCAATGAGATCAATACGTCCTGGCCGATTAACATGGTCAAGATTGTGGGCAACGACTGGAACAAGTACCATTTCTTCCTGCTGGTTTCCAAGCACCAAAGTACAAAAGAAAATCCAGGAACATACGTTCACCCCGACTTGAGCGACATACCATTCATTGACGAAGATCCATACGACATTCCAAGCATACTTCAGTCACCGCCACCAATGATGGACGAGAGGACTGAAGAACAACTACCACTACCGCAATCATCTCCACATGCATCAAGAAGTTCAATGGCACTGACGCCTTCACCATCACCTTTGGCTCAGGTGGAAACCGGAAGCGACAATTGCGACAAGGAATACGACATCGCCAGCATTGGAAAAGCTACGTGGAGTGATTCACAAGTTCCAGAAATCAAGATCATCAGCAGGAGCAAAATCAGTTCAACGTGATCTATCCAGAGAACTCAGTGCAATGATACCTGATGAAGAACCTCAGCCCATCACCATGGAAGCGACATCAACCGTACCGGAAGACTTCGCATCAGCAGGACATGAAGATAGATCAAGGACCAGACATGACATGGAGAAGGCGCTGAGCGAGATCATTAGAGACGAGGAGATGGCGAGAGAACTGAGTCAGCTCATCACGCCAGAGAATATGGAACCGATTCAAGACGAACTTCCTGAACAAGCGAGAGGACGACCAACAGCAAGAGCATCCACCAGAGTGAGATCAAGATCACATTCACCACGTCGTGCAACAATGAGACCATCAAGATCGATCGAGCAAGTTGGACCAGTATCATCAGAAGCGATCAGACAATATCGATATGACGCACTAATGGACGACAGCATCATCGACCTGAATCACGAGAGAAAACATCATCGTCATGGACCACCTCCCGAGACACCACCTGCTCGAGAAGAACCACCAACGTCAATACCAGACGGTGAAGCAGCAGTTCCCGTATTGGATCAGACTCAGGTTGGAAGTGACGGAGTCTCCAGAGCCCTGGAGGACATTCTCGAAGATGATGAAGCTCAGGAAGAACCCGTACCACTACAAGACGCAGAGGAGCTGTACACCTGGTACCTCAGCAGAGAAGCGAACAGATCGACGATTCAACCGGAAGCAGAATTGCGCAAGTTGTACATGGATAGCTCTTTCCTGGACAAAGTGACGATTGACAACATCAGTACATGTCACATGGCAGCAGTTACACCATGGACATCGTCAAGCAGTTGTTGCGTTATCAAAGGCATATCCAATGATGAACCTTCGAGATGCTTCTACCTGGATTTCCTAGATCACGAGACGATTGGAGTATATGCTTCCCAGAATGATCAATTGATTCAAGAAGCTGATTTTGAGAATCTCTGACCACAACTGGAGGAAGCGGATTTCAAGGAGATCGAGAACTACGCGAAGCACAAGTGCTTCAAACCGATGCTGAAGGCATCCTGCAACAACGAGAATTTCATTGACGCGACATGGGTTCGACGATGGATGTGGAAGGAGAAATGGGTCATTCGTTCTCGACTTTGTGGTCGAGGTGTTCTGGACAACCAGAAGTGGACAGTTGACAGACACTCTTCAACGGCAGCAAGAGTATCACAGCGGATGATGGTATCACTCTGTCAATGTGAGCCCGACTTCGAGATAGAGAGCTGGGATATTTCATCAGCCTTCCTTCAAGGATTACAGTTCAGCGAGTTATCAGAACGCTCTCGAGAACTTGGACTTGACGTACGCGAGGAACGAGAGGTCTACATCGCACCACCTGCCAATGTCTGGCGGCACTTACGGAAGCTACCGACGGACTTTGCAGAGATACCATTGGATCACGAACATCTATATGTACTTGAATGTGTGAAGGCAGTACCTGGACTCATCGACGCACCTCTTCTCTGGCAGGCAGCGCTGACGTTATATATCAAGGACCACATGGCGGGCAAGCGAGCATTACTTGATGAGAACTGTTTTGCATGGCATGACAATTCGACGGAGCGACTTCAGTTAGCCACAACAATACATGTAGACGACCTATTTCCTACGGGACGGAGGCTGTGGCTGGACTGGGCACATGCTTCACTTGAGAAGAAGTTCGGCAAAATCACCCGGAAAGTGATGCCCTTCACACACTTGGGCATCGAATATCATCGATTGGCAGACGGGACCATATTCTTGAGTCAGGAAGCCTATTTAGACACCATCGAGGCAGCAACCTTCGACAAGGAGAGATTGAAACAGGATGATTCACCATGCAACGCGGCAGAACACCATCAGTATCGTTCGTTGTGTTGTCAGCTACTTCATTTATTGCAGACAAGATGGGATATCAGTTGCGGAGTGACACACATGCAATCAAGGCAGACAGCACCGACGATAGGAGACTACAAATCACTGAAATCTATCCTAGGCAGAGCCAAGATGCACCGTTCTCAGGCTGGACTGTATTTCAGGAAATCATCTGGACCATTCAGACTGGTAAATATCAATGACGCAGCACACGCTGCGAAAAGTACCTCATATGCTCACGAAGCTCAAGGACTCTTTCTCATGGAGGATATGTTCATCGAGAAGAACTCACGAGGAGAAGTTAACATATCATGATATGACCACGTTTCCGGAGCAGCACACCCACTCATTGGACAGAGCAGGAAATCGAAGAGAGTATCGTACTCGACTAGCCACGCAGAGACAGTTGCGGCAGTCGGAAGATCACAGATGACACAGTTCACGGCATTACGCTTTACAGAGATATTGATACGTCCTCAGCTGGATCGAGGACCAAAAGGAGCACTCAAGATGTTGATGCAGTATCAGGACGAGGCCAAGACGATACTCCCAGTGGACATCGTGACATATTGTTACGACCTGTATCAGCTTGTGACGGGAATGAAAGGCATCCCCGTTGATAAGACGCAGAGGTTGAGCATCCTAAGTTTGAGAGAGGATCGATTGGCAGGGACATTGAGACGCTTCTATCACTGGCCGACGGAAGTGATGATAATGGATGCATTGACGAAGCAAGGATTGTTCCCACGTCTGCAAGATTATCTCATTATGGGAATTATTCGTTACCGAGGTTTGATGAAACAGAAGAGGGATGGAACACAGACTCCAATCAGTGTTCGAGAACTACGTATACGGAAGCATTTCACGGAGCATGACCTGGAACGTATTCAGGAACATGAAGATACTACTACGAAGACCGTGAAGATCAGTAACATGTACAACTCTTATTTCCAGAACAGCATTACCATGCAGAAGATGTATTACATGCAAAACTATATGAATGAGGTTTGATGCGATGCCCTTGCTGTATCACAGTCGGGGCATAGTAGAGTATGGTGTTCAGGATAATGAAATAATAATATGAGTTTGTATTACCACTCGTGCGTTTGTTACATCTCCTAGAAGCACAGTACCAGAGTGATAGTATAGGCAGGATCCCATTAGGATTGTAGAACTTCAAAGGCTCTTAAAGGAATATTTGGTCGCCACCGCTGGACGCAAGCTACCCTTTACGCTGCTATCTGTTTGAAGCCATTGATCGTAAACATACTGTGGCTCGAAGGCTGAAAAAGCCCGCTCCTCCTCCTCCTCCTCCTCCCCCTCCTCCGTCTCCTCCTCCTCCTCCTCCTCCTCAAGCTCGTGCTCCTGCTCCTGCTCCTGTTCCTGGTCCTGCTCCTGCTCCTGCTCCTGCTCCTCCTCCTCCCCCTCCTCCTCATCATCCTCCTCCTCCTCCTCAAACTCCTGTTCCTGTTCCTGCTCCTGCTCGTGCTCCTGCTCCTGCTCCTGCTCCTGCTCCTCCTCCTCCTCCTCCTCCTCCTCCTCCTCCTCCTCCTCCTCCTCATCCTCCTCCTCCTGCTCTTGTTCCTGCTCCTGTTCCTGTTCCTGCTATTCCTCCTCGAGGCTGGGGGATTGTGGCGGCCCTCGTGGTTCTAAAGGGTTGTATGGCTTTTCGTACCCTTCTCTTCATCATTATCCTTATATTATATACGAGGTTCGATGGTGTGTCCACCACAAAGACCAGATGCGTTGAGATGTCTTCTTTGGTTGAGTTGCAGGAGTACGCCAAGGGCAAGACGGATCGGCGACAGGCTGTGCTCGACACGTACATCGCGCGCTGCCTCCCTCACTACGACAGCGCCGAGCGGACTTGCATTCTGCCCATGAACTACTACATCCCATGCCCATATGGACGCTCGTTGTGCCGAGGGGTCGGTGGACAGAAATTCACTCGCGAGGCACGGGACGTCGCCTTCCCCGACTAGATCGAGTGCGATTCTCCGTGTTGCCACCCGCGTTTGTTCAAGAAGGCTCTGCAGGAGCGCGGTCTGTGGAACAAGAAAAGGTCCCCCATGATCCACAAGTTCTGCGCCGAGTACAAGAATTGGCGGGAGGCCATTGCCCTGTATCTCGAAATCTCCATTGACGAGGCCAAGGTGGAGCTGATCAAGCTATTCTACGGTTCTTGCGCGCATGATGAACTTACTTGTTCCTCCTCCCTTCTCCTCTCCCTCCTCTCCCTCCTCCTCTCCTCCTCTCCCTCCTCTCCCTCCTCCCCTTCCCTCCTCTAACTTTCCTCCTCTCCTCTCTCTTCTAACTCTCCTCCCTCTACCCCTCATCTCCTCCCTTCCCTCCCAACCCTCGTCCTCACCTCCCTCCTCCCTCCTCTTCTCTCCCTCCCTCCTTCTTCGGTTCTTTGCCGGCCACGCAGCTTCCGTGGATACTGAAGCTCTCAAGCGAGATTGTCGACGGTGCCCACTTGTTGCTCGCTTGCGCGGAGTTCGCCAAGTACAACGTGCTCTACGCCGACCGCCCGAGCCCCGTCTTCAGCAGGATCGCGGCCATCCTCTCGCACATGGAGAACACTGCTGTGATGATTCTGCTGGACGCTGTGCGGACGGCAAGAATCACCAGCGAGGTCCTCCTCTTCGACGGGCTCCTCGCGAAGGTGGTGGACTGCCTAGGAGAAGCGATGGTGGCGGTAGCCGTGGCCGAGGCGAGCGCCGCCGCAGGTGTACAATTCCACATAAAATCGTGGCAGCGCGTGGGCCAGCACGTTCGCTTCGCAAGGGCCGTGCTTCGCGGCTCACAAACGGTGGTCGTTCGGAGGGTGCACGGCGAACGCCAGGTGGCCAATTGCATCGTCTCGGTGGCTGATTGGGCACAGCTGTCTCCCAAGACCGCGCTCGACGAGGAGAGCGCAACCATGACGGTCAAGGAGTTCAACGATTCCGAATTGGACCTTTCCCAGCGCGATGCGACAAAGACCCCGCCGTTCACCAAGGAGACTGTGGACAACGTCTTCCGCCGCGACAATCCCGAGGGTACTGTGTACGGCGCCATTGAGGTTCATCCGGCGCCTGCACCTGCGCATTGCCACGGCGTTAGGATCTTGGAGGGCGGTTGCGTGGGGCTCTGGGGCCCGACGGCTCCTTCAGTGGAGATGCACTTGCGCCTGGCCGAACTGGAAGCGTTCGCGGAGGGCAAAGATTTGAAGTGATTTTCCTTGAAGACGGTGCATGCGGACGCGGGCTTGCCGACTGACGGGGACGACGCGTACATGATGCCAGCCGCGGGTGCCGACGACTTGTTCCAGCCAGGACCTGGCCTGCAACGCGCGGTGGAGACGGAGTGACCCTTCGAGACGAATTCGTGGGAGTGCGCCCGCTGCAAATCTCCCTTGAAATGCGAACAGAGAGCGGAGCGCGAGATCTCCAGCACCCTTTACGATCTACACCAGACCACGGAGATTGCGGTGAGGACATGGCGGTGCACTAACAAAACCTGCAGGCTCACGCACGGCCCGAACTTCATGTGGCTTGATGGCGAGAAGGTGAACGCAGCCACGTTGGCCGACTTCGAACAGCCTGGCGTAGTCTCCGTGCGCAACCAGAGAGCGTTTACCATGCGCTACCTGCGCTACCACGAGAAGCTCATGTTCCGCGCCTTCACCACGGCTCGCGGCATCGATTGGGTCACCAAGGAGGTCTTTGCTGACAAGGAGGAGGAGGGGCACGGCAAGGAGTTCGTCACCGATGTCAGGAAGATCCACCTCGACGCGCTGATGTACCTGATCGCTGCGCAGGAAATGGAGCCGATCAAAGAGCACCGCGGCATCATCATCGGCAAGGATATCACCGATGATACCTTCTCCAAGTTGGACAGCTACTACCACAGGAACGTGTTCCCCGATCCGCGCCCGAAGAAGATTACGGTGCTCGTCGGGGGCGGGCACGAGAAAGTCCTCACGAAATGCAATGACGAGGAGAGGCAGCAGCGCGCCGTGCGCAGGAGGCCAGCAGCGATGAAGGGATCGATGAAGAGGGCGCGCAAGACCGCCATCAAGAAGCACGTCCTCCGCGCGAAGCCCGCCGCGAAGAAGAAGGCCGTGGTTCTCAAGAGGCCGTCCGCCGCGCCAGTGCGCAAGAGGCCATCTGCTGCTGCACCCGGCCAGGGGCCGTCCGCCGCAGCCATCCGGAAGAAAAGGCAGTACAAGAGCAGCAGCAAATCAGCCCGCCACATGCACCACAACCACGGGTGGTTCATGGTTCTCACCCCTGAAGGGCGCATCGCTGCCGCAGTCGAGCAGAAGAACCCAGAGGGCAACGGCGTGGCGGCAGAGACCCTGACTCGTGCCCTCAAGAAGCACCCCAACGTGAACACGTTCGTTTACGATCGGTGCTGCTCCTTCTTCGTGTCGGCCCAGAAGTTGCCTGCCTTCAAAGACATCAAGTACTGGGCCGTCGACATGATGCATGCGAAGGGGCACGCCCGCAGCTGCCCCTGCAACCGATACCACATTAAGCGCTTGAGCCGCCGCTTGAAGGGCATCAACACCCAGGTGGCGGAGCAATCCTTCTCGTGGTTTAGGGGGTACGCGCGCCCGCTCAACGAGATGGCCCCGCTGCGGCACAAGCTCTGCGTTCTTCTCTTCGCCAAGCTCCACAACAACTACGTTGCGGAGCACAACATCGAGTACTTGCCGCCGATGGGGAGCCTCAGGACGACGCAGGGTACGGGCGGGCATTACGGCTGCTCATAGGGTTGACATGTAGAGTTTCCGCGATTAGTTTGGAAGACGCTACTCTGAGTTTGGATTGGCCAGTGCACCGATGTATGGCGGATACCAGCGCAACGCCTATGCTTGATTACATAAATTCACTATAGTTGAGATCATGTTTAAGCCCATGCATGCATGACTGGTCAGCTCCTGCGTCCTGTAGGACTAGGGTTGACATATACAGCATTCGGGATCAGTTTTCCCAGACGCTGCTCCGAGCTTGGGTTGGCCAGTGCAGCGATGCATGAGAATTGCCAACGCTACCGCTACCCTTGTGCTTGTTTACACGAGTTCACCATAGCCGAGATTGTGGTACAATCCGTGCATGCGTGGCTGTTCAGCTGCTACGTCCTGTTGCATAGCTTCGCGCGCGCGGGCGTAGTGCTGACTAATGCATCGCCTGCGGGGGGAGGTCGTGGACTGCGCCATGACCGTGTAAAGTTGCATCAGCAGGGGGTCTGTTGCAGAGCGCACGAGGGGTGCGTTCGAGTGGCCATGCGGTGAGTCGGGCAAATTTCGCCTTTCTCTCGCGTGTTCCATTGTCGCCTAGCTATTTGCGCGTGCGCGCTTAGACATGTTACCTTCAGTTCTTTGCCACAATGACCAATGCGGCTCAGTGGCGGTGCACTTGCGTTCGCCCTTGCCTGTGGCGATGGGTTTTATATTCCAGCACTTATGCGAGTTCTGATTGTTCATGCGTCGTTTGAAAATCATATGTTGCCTCCACTTCTCTCTTACTTCTCCCCCTCCCACTCCCCCTCCCTCACCCTCTCCCCGCTGCCCCTCTGGCCGTCGGCTCCTCACGGCCGCCGCTCGGCTGACATTTGAGGGCGGTGGGCCCGGTTCCACGCGGACCCCGAAGGAGGAGGAGGAGGAGAAAGAGTAGGAGGAGAAGGGGGAGCAGGAGGAGTAGGCGAGAGGCGGCGTAGGGAGAGGCTGGGGTCGGAAGGAGGCAGAGCCTGAGGAGGGGCGAGGAGGAGGAGGAGGGAGAGGATTTTCCTTTGCCCCCTCCCGAAAAAAAAAGAAAACAAAAAAAACTGGACTAGCCCGTCCCGATTTGATGTTTTGTTCTTCTTTTTTTGAGGGGGGGAGGAGGAGGAGGAGGAGGAGGAGGAGGAGGAGGAGGAGGAGGAGGAGGAGGAGGAGGAAGGTGAGGGGAGTGGGGGAAGAGGAGGCGGAGGAGGAGGAGGAGGAGGAGAAGGAGGAGTAGGGGGAGGAGGAAGAGGAAGAACACGAGAAGGAAGAGAAGGAATAAAGCGACAACCTTGTAAGAACCACACGAAGAGACCACTCGAAAGGCGAGGGCCGCCACAATCCCCCGTTCTCTCCTCCTCCTCCTCCTCCTCCTGCTCCTGCTCCTGCTGCTCTGCTCCTGCTCCTGCTCCTGCTCCTCTCCTGCCTCCTCCTCCTCCTCTCCTCCTTCCTCCTGCCTCCTGCTCCTCCTGCTCCTGCTCCTCCTGCTCCTGCTCCTGCTCTCGCTCCTGCTCCTCTCTCCTCCTCCTCCTCCTCCGCCTCCGCCTCCGCCTCCGCCTCCTGCTCCTCCTCTCTCTCCTCCTCCTTCTCCTCTCCTCCTCCTCCTCCTCCCTCCTCTCCTCCTCCTCTCCTCCTCCTCCTCCCTCCCCCTCCCCCTCCTCCTCCTCCTCTCCTCCTCCTCTCCTCTCCTCCTCCTCCTCCTCCTCCTCCTCCTCCTCCTCCTCCGTGCTCCGCGGTGCCCAGGCCGAGGAGGGGCAGCCGCCTGGAGCAGCAGGCGCTGGACCAGGGCTCGCAGCGCGGAGCCCAGCGGCTCCCACGAGAGGCCGCCTTTCTCGGGGGAGCGCTTTTTGAGCCGGGGGGGGCGGCGCCGCCAAGCGCAGGGGAGGGTGGCGGCGCGCACAGGGGGGCAAGGGGAGGGGGGAGGGCTTATTGAAAGGAGGCTGCTTCTTGGAGGGCGCTGGCCTTGCATCTACAGATAAGGCCGGAGCCCTCCAAGCTGCAGGGGTGCTTGTAAGGAAACCTTCCCCCTCCCCCAGTCCCTCCCCTGCGCGTGGTCGAGGGGGCAGGGAGGAGCTGGAGAGCAGGGATGATAATGGTCAGATAAGAGAAGATCCGACCAGATAAAACGATATCTGTATGTATACATATGCATACAACCATGCATACGTACCTGCATACTCACAATCATGCATGTATGCGTACACAGTTGCAAAATCACATACATGAATACAGGCATACATGCATCCATGCATGCATACGTATGTACATACGTACATGCATACATGCATGCATGCACATACATACATTCCCGCCCATATACATACATACATGTGTACATGCATGCATACGTACATGCATACATACAGTGGCACAACATACATGCATACATACATGCATGCATGCATGCTTACATACATACGTACATGTAAATATGGCTTCAGGGGCAGTCAAGAGGACACGAAGACGTTCCAAGAGAGTGCCAAGACAGCGTCAGAGAGTTCAACAGCATTCCCGAAACACGTTTGCATGTGACCGAGAAGTCTTGATGGGGCTCGAGGAAGAGGATAGGGAGTAGGAGTCTCACTTTGAAAGAACAGGAATCTCTTGAATGTCTGTTTTCAAATTCCTCGATCGTGGAGCGTTGGTGGAAGCGGCAAAACGTGAGAAGGCGAAAAACATCGACAATGACCACTGGAAAGCAACGATTTAACTCTCGTCGGGCTCTCTCGGTACGGCTCTCGAAGCTCTGTCGGGCTGTGTTGGGGGCCTCGTCGGGAATGTTCTGGGAGCCTCTCAGGGGTCTGGGGCGTGTTGGAGGCCTCTGGGGCCTCCTGCTCCCGCTCTTGGGCTCATCTTGGGCCTGTGCTGGGGTGGTCTGGAGCTGTCCTGGGCGCCTCTTCGGCAGTCTTAGGGCCATCTTGGCCCGCCTTGGGGCCGTCTTGGGGGCCTCTTGGGCGGTCTCGAGGCGGTCTTGGGGGCATCTTCGGCCGTCTTGGAGCGTTGGAAGCATGAAATGGTGAGAAGGCCAAAAACCCTGAAACAAAAAACAATGAACATTACGACGGGACATCACTATCGATCTCACTATCGATCTCTGTCGATCGATCCCACTGTCGCTCTCACTATCGATCATACTCGATCGATCTCCCTATCGACCTTACGATCGGATTCACAATCGATCACATTGTCGCTCTCACGATCGACATCACTCGATGGATCGACCTCACCCGATCAATATCACTACCGAAGTCCATATCGAACTCACATTCGAGTTCACAATCGATATCACTAGCTATCTCACTGTCGATATCAAGATCGGTCTCACGGTCAATATTACTATCGATATCACGGTCGATCATCATATCGATCTTACGATCGATCTCCGTATCGATATCAGTATTGATCGCATTATCGACATCACTGTCAACTCACGGCCGATCGCAATATCGATATCACTATCGCTCTCACTATCGATCACACTATCGATCCACCTAGCGATATCACAAGCGATGCTTGAACTCATTACCGATGTCAAAATCGATCTCACGATCGATCTCACTATCGGTCGCACTATCAACCTCACTATCGATCGCACGATCGATCTAACGAGCGACCTCACGTTCGGTCTCACCATCGATCTCACGACGGGACGCCGACTGGACACCGACGGGACACCGACCAGACATCGCTGTCGATCTCACTATCGATCTCCACGATCGCACTCACTATCGACTCACTATCGATCGCATGATCGTTCTCACAATCGCTCGCACAGTCGAACCCCCCAAATCGGCGTCATTATCGCTCTCACTATCGATCACACTCGATCGCTCTCACAAACGAGTATACTATCGAAAACATACTCGAGTTCACTATCGAGCTCACTATCGATACCATTATTGATAGCACTATCGATATCACCATCGATCTCACTATCGATGTCAGTATCGATCTTACGATCGATCTCACTATCGGTCCCAGTATCGATCTCACCATCGATCTTACTATCGATCTCACTATAGATCGTAGTATCGATCTCACTATCGATCTCAGTTTCGTTCTCACTGTCGGTCTCACTGTCGGTCTCACAATGGGCTTCACTACAGGACACCCACAGGACACCGACGGAACACAGACCAGTTACCGACGGGACACCAACGGAACACGGAACACCGACAGGACACCGATGGGACACCGACGGGACATCAGATTCGATCTCCATATCGACCTACATCGATCAATACCTCGATCGATCTCAGTAACGAGCTCACGCTCCCTCTGACTATCGATCCCACAATGGACCCTAAAATCGATCTCATTATCTCTCATGCTCGATCTAAATCGATCAGTCTCACTCGATCGAGCTTACAATCGATATCACTATCGAACTCACTATCGAAATCAACATCACTCTCAAGATAAATCTAACAGTCGATCGCACTATCGATCGCACAATCGATCTCACTATCGATTTCACTATATAACTCACCATCGCTATCACTATCGATATCGCTATCGATCGCACTATCAATCTCACGGTCGATCTCACAATCGATCTCGCTATCGATCGTACGATCGATCTCGGAATGTATATTACTATCGATCTCACGATCGGTCTCATTATCAAATCACTATCGATCGCACTATCAATATCAATATCGATCCAACTATCGATATCAAAAACAATCTGAATACCGATCTCCCTACCCATCGCACGATCGACATCACTATCGATCTCACGATGGACATCACTATCGATATAACTATATATAAATCTCACTATCGTTTCCCCTATCGATCTCACTATCGCTCGCACTATCGATCTCACTACTGGACACCGACGGGACACCGATGGGACAACAAGGAGACACCGACGGGACAATGACGGGACATCAATATCGATCCGAATCTCACAATCAATCTCACTCGATCGATCTCACTATCGATATTACTATCCATCTGACTATCGATCTCACTAGGGATCTTCCTACCGATCTCACTCGATCGATCTCATTTGATCGATCCATCGATCAAGATCACTATCGAACCCACAATCGATCTCACTATCGATCTGACGATCGATCTCACACAGTCGATGCCAATATCGATCTTACGATCAATCTCACCAGATCGACCTCACGATGGATCACACGGTCGAGCTCAATATCGATATCACGATCGACCTCTCTCGATCGATCGCACTATCGCTCTCACTATCGCTCTCAGTATCGATGTCACGATCGACCTCGCTGACGATCGCACTACTGGACGCCAACGGGACGCCGACGCGACACCGACGCGACACCGACGGCACACCGACGGCACACCCGCGGGACACCCCTGGCGCGGGGCGGCGGCGGGCCTCCAGAGGCGTTTTTGTTTGGTCTGCAGGCAACTAGATGATTTGTCTGCCTTCGTGGTACAGTCGGGGCGCTGACCTAAGGAACCCTAAATAAGGAGCGAGGCCCCTTTTCTCCAGAAGTTGAACTTTGATCTCCCTTCGGAAACCAAAGGAAAACCCAAGGCAAACTGTGAAGCAATCAAGGAACACGGAGCCCCTCCCCAACGAAAAGGGTTCCTTCTTCAGGGCCCCGACTGGATGTTCTGGAAGATCAGCGAGGCACTTCCCCCCAGCTCTGGACAGTTCCGCTGTTACCCAGTTGAGAAGCTGGACAATGTACAAATCTACACGTGCGGAAGGTCCCAGCCGGAGCCAAGCAAGCTCGCAAACAGACGTGGCAGAGTCGAAAAACTGTCGCGCCGACGCATGTACACGCACAGCTCCACTGTGCGGTCGTTTGATGTGCGGATAGGGGGCTGCCGTGAGGAAACTGACACGGCGGAATGGAACTGAGAGACAGGGATTGCCCGTGTGGACGTCGACATGGAACCGAGAGCGATTGGGCTGGTGTGGACGTCACACGCGCCAACACACGCAAACCTCCCGTTCAGGTGCCGTGCACGCCTCGATCCCGACACGGGAAACATGGTGCGCATGACGCTCGATTAAAAATCCTTGACGCGAACGGCGCGTCTCTGCCTCCTCCAGCTCGTCCTCATCCTACTCCTCGTCATCCACCTTCTCCTGCTGGACTCAAGCCGATTCCAGCTTGCGCATGGCCGGCGCTGGGCTGGTGTTGTACTTCCACAGGGAAGTGACTGTATTCCAACCCAGCTTCAGGTCACCCAAGACGTCGTTGCCCTGGACCTTCTTGTACAGGTAGGAGTCGAAAGTCACCTTCTGCACGTACTCCTCCTCGCACAGCTCCACGAAGCTCTCGCGGGCAGCGTCCGTGGTGTAGAAGACCCTCTGAAGGGCGTCCAGCACGGTGTAGGTGGGGCCGTACTGGCCATCGAACTTGGTTGTGTAGACCAGAAGGTCCTTCTCGTCGACCATCCTCGTGCCGTTCTCGGAGAACCGGACAATCTCTTCTGCGCACATGACGCCGCTCTTGGCCGCGAAGTAGATGCCCTCGCCCGAGCACTTGGTGACGTAGCCGGCAGCGTCGCCGATCAGGGTGCAGCGGCCCTTCGTGCGCCTCGGGCGCGGGTGCTCCGGGATCGGGTGAGCCTCAACACGGATGATCTCCCCGCCCTCGATGCGAGGAGCGGCTCGTTCGCGGATGCCCTTCTGGTACATCTGGATGCCCTTCTTATCCACCACCGTGCCGGTGCCGACGGCAACATGGTCATACTTGGGGAACACCCACGCGTAGAAATCTGGCGACACGTCCTCGCCGACGTACATCTCGGCCCTCTCCTTGTAGTACTCCATCTTGCCCTCATCGATGCGCATGCGCTCCTGGAAGGCGATCGCGTACTCGTAGTCACCAGCGTCGATCAGCTTGGCCACCCGGCTGTTGGCACCGTCGGCCCCGATGACGACGTCGACCTCGAGCGTCTTCCTGGCGCCTTTGCGAGCGCCGCCCTCCTGGTCGCCCAGGTCGTTGTACTGCAGGACGTACGGGTCGCCGTCCTGCTGAGGCAGGTCCATGCCCATGAAAAGGCCGTTGATGACAGTGGCCCCGTTCTTCGCCGCCGTGTCCCGCAGGTGGCTGTCGAGCACCTCGCGCCGGACCATGCCGATGTACTCGTCGTCCTTCAGGGTCTGGCCAATCTGCACCTCCCTGTTCGAGGGCGAGATCATGGTCATCTTGCGCACCCGCCGGTCGATCAGCTCCTGCGGCAGGCCGAACTCCGCCACCATGCAGAGCGGGATCGCCCCCCCACAGGGCTTGCAGTTGTCCAGCTTCCTCTCGATCAGGTACGTCTCCACGCCGCCCTCCGCCAGCTTCCACGCGCACGACGCGCCGCCCGGCCCCCCGCCGATCACGGCCACCCGGAGCTTCCGGCCCTCGGGCAGCCGGCCGCCCGCGCAGACCACCACGCGCGCGCCGCGCAGACCACCGATCGCTCCGCGCTGGCCCGGCCACCGGCGCCGCGCGCGCCGCGCGCGCCCGCCAGCGGCGCCGCGCCGCCCGCGCGCGCGGGAGAAGCCCGCCCCCGCCACGGCCGCCGCGGCGGCCGCGCCGAGCGCCCAGGTACCAGCGCGCGCCTCCCACGCAGGCGCCGCGCCTCCTGGCAGGGGCTCCCGGCAGGGCGCGCCGCGCCGGGCGGCGGGCGCGGCGCGGGCGGGCGCGGCGGCCGCACTCGGCGCGAAGGCGGCCATGTTTTCTCGTGCCTGGCGGGCTCTGCGAGCGTGAGCGGCGGGGACAACACTGACTTGGCCAAAGTAGCTTGAGCCAAAATGGCTACGGGGCCTCCAGAGGCGCTTTTTGGGGGGCCCCCTCGGGAGCACTCCTCTGGAGGCCGCCCTGCGGACCTCCTGGGGCCCGTCTTGGGGCCGTCTCGGGGCCGTCTTGGGGCCGCGTCGGGGACCGCCGCCGCCGCCGCTGTCGCCGCCGCCGCCGCCGCCGCCGTCGGCGCCGTCGTCGTCGTCGTCGTCGTCGTCGTCGTCGTCGTCGTCGTGTCGTCGTCGTCGTCGTCGTCGTCGTCGTCGTCGTCGTCGTCGTCGTCGTCGTCGTCGCCGTCGTCGCCGTCGTCGTCGTCGTCGTCGTCGTCGTCGTCGTCGTCGTCGTCGTCGCCCCCGCAGGATGGCGCTCTGCGGCGAGGGCCGCGCCGCACAAGTCGCGGGGCAGGGGCGCCTCGGGCCGCCAGCGTGGCCAGGGCCTCCGCGCAGCTGCCCTCGGCCGCGGGCTCCCCCTGCGCGCCGAGGCCCACCTCCAGAAGCAGGTCGACCAGGTCCATCTAGGGGAGGGGCTGTAACGATCGAGTTTAGAGGATCGGAGCCTCGCGGAGCGAGGATCGAGAAGGGGTGCAAGGATCGAGGCTCGAGGTTCGAGGATCGTCCCCCAAGACGACCCAGAACGCTCCGAGAGCGCTCCGAGAGCACTCTGGGGCGCGTCCACCCAGGGTCATGGGCCCACCCGAGGTCTCCTGCTCACCCTCCTGCTCCAACTGCTGCTCCGGATCCACCTCCTCCCGCCTGCTCCTCACCCCTTCCCGCCCCACCTCCTCCGCCTCCGCCTCCAGCACAACACATACACCAATGTTATATATATATATATGTGGATAGATATATATATATATATATACACACACACGTCGGTCGGAAGAAGTCGGTAGAACAATTAAGTAGGAAGGCGTTGGAGGCAGATTGGGCTTCCGCCTGCCCCCTCAAGAGGAAGGAAGAGGGGAAAACGCCGGATCCATACATATACATAAACATCTACATATACATGTACGTATACATATGAATACTAGAACCATCGCGCGCGCTTCGCGCGCGCTCAAGTTCTAGCTAGGCTTCATAGGCTAACTCATGTAATATCATGTTGGCCGCTTCTTGCGTCCAAGGACTTCCTTCGAGGCCCTGCGCAAGCCTCGGAATCGTATAGAAGGGGAAGTGCGGCAACGCAGAAATAATTAATATTAATTTCTTGTAGGTATTTAACGATGTGGGGCCCTCAAAAGCCTACTGGGTTCTTTTTGGGGAGGTGAGGTGGTCTGTTGTGCAAGAGTAGACCAAGGGCCAAACTTGAAAGAAAAGGATTTGTAGGATTTCTTTTTTTTTCCAGTTCCTCGGCGCTGTTCGGCGCTGTTTTTTGTTTGTGCCTCGCGGGTTTTGTTAGCCGGGCCCCTCAGGGGTGTGGGATCTTCCGGACCCCCTGGGGGTTCTGGAGGCCTCCTGGAGGCCTGGAGAGCGGTCGGAAGGGTGTCTCGGGCTGCGCGGGAGCGTGTTGGGCCGTTCTTTACATTCTGGGGGCTCCTTGGGGTCGTCTTGGGCTGTCCTTGGGCGTGTTGGAGGCCCCCCGGGAAGCCGGGAGGCTACCGGCCAGATGTCAGGGGATGTGTGGGAATTCCCTTTCTCGTCTTCTGCTTTAAAACACAAAAATCTTCGAGGGTTGGAAGCGGGAAAACGTGAGAAGGCGAAAAACCATTGGAAATCAACGATTGTACCCTCTGTGGGCTCTCTCGGGACGGCTTTCGCAGCTCTCTTGGGCTGTTCTTGGAGCCTCGTCGGGGTGTTTTTAGGGCCTCTCAGCGATCGGGGGGGTGTTGGGGGCCTTTGGGGGGTCCCAGAGGCCTCTCGGAGGTCTCTGGAAGCCTCCTGCTCCCGCTCTTGGGCTCATCTTGGGCCTGTTCTGGGGTGGTCTGGGGCTGTCCTGGGCGCCTCTTCGGCAGTCTTGGAGCCTTTTTTTTAACATGCCATGCCAGCCCGAACTGGACGGGCACGCAATCGACCTTGGAAACCGCAATGTGTCTAAAAACCCTGTTTGGGGATACTGCACTCCGGCTATAATGCGAGGTCTATGATGAAATAAAGAAGCTCGAGCAACCCTCGAGATATGTTTGCACTGCTTTCACATCTGGCCAACAGCCAGGCGATTGGAAAACAAATTCATACGTCAGACGAGACGCTGGAGAATTGGGGCCACACTCTGTTACATGGCACTGATACTGTCTGCGATGTCAGAGGAGCCGTTCAAAATGATGCTCACGTTAATTTAAAGCCTCGGACATGAAATCAGTCTGTGATACGTCTGGTCGGCAATGGGTTCTGCCACATGCAACTCAATCCGAGCCGACGTACCAATCAATCAAAGGACGCGGTCGCGCCACCAAGACTTCATGCAGTGTGGGCTGGGAGTGGCCGCCTTGGAGTGGTCGCCATCCCCAAGTAGCCCACCAACAGGGAAGCCCGCCCTGCCCAAGTGTCGAACGAACACGTTGATGTATTCGACACCCTCGGCGGTGTGGCCCCAGCGCACCTTGACATCGACATGCCTGATATGCAACCACCCTGCCCCGACGTGCGTGTTTGGAACACTGGCAGAAAATCGAAAGCCCCCAGGGCTCAATGTGTCAACCCACGCGCCGGTCAAGTTCAGGGACTTGAAATACAAGTCAGAGCATGCATGACCGAACCGCTCCGCACGGGCTTCGACGGCCAGCAACGACCGCTCTGCGACCGAACCTCTGGGGATTTGGATGAGCACGTACGTCCTGGCCTGCATGATGTCGAAACGTTGCCCGTATATGTTCACGAGGTGGGGGTCACCAGTTGCAGCTGCTATCGCGACATGATTCGTCGAAGGTGGGCTAACCACCACTGACGACGCGTCGAAAGTGATGCCCGCGTCGGCGAAGGCGGTAGTGAACGAGCCCACTAACGATGTCGGGTCTGCAGCCATGCTGTTCGCGGATATCGCCAACTCGGCCGCCTTCTCCGGGTCAGTCGTCTCAGCAGAGTAAGTTATGCTGAAAGAGCCAAGGGCGGTCCCACTCACCGACCGCCGCGCTGTTTGGTGAACCTGCACATTCAGCATCGACGCGGCGGATATGTTCATCTCCTGCATCAGAACTGGCTTCACGACAGCTTTAGTCTCCGACTCACCCGCCGAGCAAGACAAGGACATGGAGCCTAGCACGGTGGTTTCGGTAACCATGCCCGGAGCGGGCACCGGCGTTGGGGATGGTGTCGGAGACCGCGTTGGGGATGGTGTCGGAGACGGCGTGGGAGAAGTTGTTGGATTGGGCGTCGGGTTGGGCGTCGGGTTGGGCGTCGGGCTGGGAGTCGGGTTGGGCGTCGCCTGCGTGTTGTACTCAATGTCAATATCCAACCTGGAATTACAGTAGGCCCCCGCAGAATAACTGGGACTGATGGAGTTGCTACCCCAATTCCAATTCGAGATACCACTCGGGTAAGTTGCGCTCGAGGCGGTACACGCGAGGCACACGCCGCAACTGCAAGCCGTTGGCGAACCACATTATCCTGAGGCGGTCGTGCCTGACAACGTCATTGACAGAGTCCCAATGCCGCACTTAGCTCCGTATGCCGTTACTGTCCACTTGGTGACCGTGCCCAAGTTGACGCCACCAAAATTCACATTGGCCCACGCCACATTGTAGGTACCGCCTTGGCTTTGCTGGAGGCAATTGTACCCTGATCTGCCGCAAACCGAGCAGTGGCTGTGGCCTGAGGTACCATACACGGTGTATGGGTTTTGCGCCTGGCGTGACTGTGCTGTGCTATTGTCGAACTCTACTACAACATGTAACTTGCCTGCACCGTCGTCCATTTCCTCGTAGACGACAGGGGGCAGTGGGGAAGGTGCACTCTGCACGACAACAGGGGGTAGTGGGGAAGGTTCCTCGCTGACACGCTGCTGCATCAAGTGAACGTCGACGTGGCTGAGCTCAAGCGAGCCGAATACTTGAAAATCTGGGGCGATCCCACCCTGATCGAGTGCTGAGGCGCCTCCGTATGGTGCCATAGACGACGCGACGCTGACGAGCCCCATGCAGAAGTGCATCATGGAAGTCATCGATACTTTATCGAATGAAAATGAAGTGCGCGCGCGCGCCTGCGAAAGTGATGAATCACTCCTGCGCCAGAATGACTTGAGCCAAAATGGCTACGGAGGCAGTCTTGGAGCCTTCTTGGCCCGTCTTGGGGCCGTCCTGAGGGTCTCTTGGGTGGTCTTGGGTCTTGGGGCGGTCTTGGGCGGCTCTTCGGCGCTCTTGAACCCCCCTTGGAAGCTCGAAAACGCGAGAAGCCAAAAACGTTTGAAAAAACAATGAAAATCTACGATGTTGGCTTCCTCGGGCCGTGCCGGGACGCCTCTCGGACCCCTCTTGGCCACCTAGGATCCTCAAGAGCCGTCGGAAGGCTGACTTGGGCTGCTTGGGAGCGTCTTGGATCATCCTTTCGCATTCTAGGGGCTCCTGGAAGGCTGGGCCCTCCTGGGGCGCTGTGGAGGCTCCCCGGAAAGGCCGGGGGAGCAGTACCTGGAGCGTCCCCGAGATGTCACGGGGAGGTGTGGGACTGGAGGCCTGGCGGGACGGTATTTATCTATATTGAATATGGATGTACGCATGTACATATAGATGTACATGTGAATATATATATATATACATATATATATATATATATGTGTATGCATAAATGTAAACAGATGTACAACACTACTGATGCATACATCCCTACCTATGTGTATGTATATACATCTGTATACAAATGCATACACCTGTGTACATATATATATATATATATACCTAAAAAATTCACGTCTACATAAAACCCGACATTCCACGTAGACAGCTGCTTCCCGTCGCCCAACCAGACGTGTCAGCAAGGGGGTCTGGGCGTTTCGCCGGAGACTTCCTCGCCACTTATGACCCTGAAGACTGGAAGGCCCAACAGCGACGAGGATGGAGGGCGAACGCTTTCCAAACTGACGCTCTCGCCTTGGCGCCGCGCCCATTCGTCTTGCGAGCTTGCGACAGCTTCAAAGACAGAGGACGGACACGGGATCCGCCAAAGTGGGGTGACCCTGAGGAGGGACATCATGAATTCGATCCGCTGGTGCACCGAGTTGCCGCAAACAGATGCACCCCACATGCCCCACCTATCGGCAACTATCGGAAGCTGCAGGCGGCTGGGGGGCATCTGTTTTGGGCGGTTCGAAGCACAAGCCGATCGAACATACACACCTTGAAGAAGAAATAACGCCGTATAAATAAACTTGTGGCGCTCAGCGCGGACCCACGAAATCCAAGCGGAGCGGCAAAAGTTTACGTTTGTGGCGCTTTTTCTTCTTCGAGTTTTGGGCGGTTCGAAGCACAAGCCGATCGAACTGAACCACCCCCAGGACGCGCACCCCACTTGCCAGAGCCCAACACTCTCAAGATGGGGCACGCTCGAACAAACGAACGAACGAACGAACCTGCCGTCGCCGGGAAGCCGGCATCCCTGCAAGGGGGGCAGGCGCGCTGGTCGCGCGCATGCCTTCCAAGAGGGCCACTGGATGTGGATGGTGGGGCACGCTCGTCGTAGACAAGTCTATGCACAGAGGGCGGGCCCAGCTCGGAAAACGGCGCCCTCGCCTTCGCGCCGCGCACGCTGTCTCAGAAAAGCTTGCCGCCGCGACCGGGGTCCACGGCCGTGCCGCTGGGCACGGAGAGGGCGTGGCCTCACGCATGGGAGCACAGAGACAGATCGGTGGCCTTTCTGTGCCTTCATGTTTGCCGTAGTCGCGATGGCTCCAAAGCGCTGAGCAAGCGAGGCTGCCCACGGGCTAAAGCAGAGTCCCGTGCGAGCCAGCCTTTTGGTCACAAAGTGTTCGCACTTCAGAATCAGGAGGAAACCATCGCCATCGTCATAATAGATCTCCTCCTTGGAGGCGCGCGTCCGACGCGAACATGTAGTACACACATCTTGTAGTATATCGTTTCCCGAGCGGTGTGGCCAGAAAGCGCCTGCCACGACGCATATGCTATAAGATTTCTCGGTGCGCGCGTGGTCCCTGGGGGGGGGCGACGCACACATAGTATTAGAATGTTGGGGTGACGCCGAAAATACTTTGCCTAATCCCTGAAACTTCAATTTTGGACGTCCGGAATGGGTACGGAAAAATGGGCATAATGCCCAACACCTAATGTTGCCCAAAACCAGTTGCGGCCGCTGTTGGGCAGGCGGCCTTCTGTCTCGAATGGACAACGCCCGCGTCGACGCCGACAGCGAACCCTGCTCAGAATGAACAAGAACTGCTGTTGGTCTTTGTAGCCGTTTTCTTCGTCCCCTTTTTGACAGTCCCGATCAGCCCTCGCTCCTGAAAGATCTTTAAATGCGGGGCAGCGATCTGGGGGAATAGGCATAAGGGGGGAAGCATCGACCTGGATTCGGCGATACATCGCCGATAAATCAGCGATAGGCCCCCGACAGTGAATCCGCACCTTCCTGGGCAGGTTGGGACTATCGGGCCCCTGTCGGCGATCAATGGGCGATTGGGGGTCGATGCATCCCCCCTACAGGGAAACGAACTCCATACACCGAAACTTGTTCCCGGCCCTGCGCCGAAATTTGCACTGGAGAGCGGATTCTGGTGTATACGGGATCCTGGTGTATACATCTTCCGTTGCTTCCCTTGGAGAACGAGGGAAAACTATACACCACACCACCACGACGTCGTCCCCGACCCTCCAAAAGTGTTGGGATTGAAAAAACAAACAAAAAAAACAAAAAAAAACATGTTTTTTTTATTTTTTTTTTTTAACAAAAAAAAAAAAAAAAAAAAAAAAAAAAAAAAAAAAAAAAAAAAAAAAAAAAAAAAAAAAAAAACGCGCCACTGGTAATGTATATGTTCCAGTTTCCGAATACCCCCCCCCATCGCTGCCCCAGACTCAAGGTCCCGGAGCTCAGATTGCCAAATCTCCCGGGGCTCCCCGCGTGCTCCCGGGGACCCGTCGCGGCCTGCCGCGTGGCATCCTCGGGCCCAGGAGTGCCCCGGGGCCGGCCAGGAGGGCCCCATGAGGCCCCGACGACGGTCCGGGAAGGCCCCGAGTCGCCGCAGGATCGCTCCAGGACGCTCAAGATGGCCCCCAGAAGAACACGAGGCCTCCGAGAGGCCTCAAATGCCCATTGGTGTGTCAAGGGTTTTGGGCGCTCTCGCCTCCTCGACTTCCCGACGCTCCAAGACGGCCCTGGAGGTTCCCAAGATCGCCCCAAAACGTCTCAAGACACCTCCGAAAGGGCCCCGAAACAGCCAACGAGGGCCCCAAGACGGCCCACGAGGCGCCCAAGACGGTCCCATAGGTCCCAGAGACGGCTCCAAGAGGGGGCCCAGATGGGGGACCCGAAGGGACATTTCGAGGCCTCGGCCCCGAGGGGCCCCCCCAAGAGGCCCCCGAGAGCGCTCCGAAGAGACCCCAAGAAGCATCCATGAGAACTCTCACCCACAAACCAGGCACGGTGGACATTGGAACTGTCGCGAGAAAAACAAAAAAACAAAAAAAACGCGAACGCTAGTCGTTGGAAGGTTGAAACATCTGCAAGGGTGAAGAGCGCCTCCGTGACAAAATCCGCCGACCCCTTGGGGTCACGGCGTGTGCGGTGTTTCCCCCTCCCCAAACCCCTCCCCCGGGAGCCCGGTCCAGCCGGTCTGGAGGGGGGGGGGGGGGGCAAAAAAGCCGACCACACCCTTGAAACCTCAGGGGTCCCCAAAACGGACCAAGAGGGCCCCAAAAGGCCACCCAGACGGTCCAAGAGGGCTAAGACTCGCCAAAGATTGCTCCAGGACGCCCACGACGCCCAAGATTGCCTTCAGGCGGCCCTCGAGGCCTCCAAGACGCTCTAAGAAGCCACCAAGAGGCGTCCCAGCAGGCCCTCCAGAAGCAAAAATCGCCACGCTCCCGAGGGAAAACGTATATTTTTAGCACATTCGCCTCGAGGGCTTTCACGAGGTCCACAACGGCCCAAGAAGCCTTGAAGATCGACCCAAGATAACCCAAGAGGCCCCCAAGAAGGCTTCAAGATGGCCGAGGAGGGCCCCAAGACGGCCACAGAAGCCTCCAAAACATCCCAGGAGGGCCCCAGGACAGCCCCAAGAGGAGGCCCAGAGGGGGAACCTGAGGCGCCAAGAGGCCCCCAAGAGGCTCCCACGAGGCCCCCGAGAGTCCCCAAAAAATGCCCCTAGAGGCCTCAACAGGGCTCCCAAGAGGCCTCAAAAAAGCTGCCAGGAGAGCCCAGAGAAGCCCAAGAGCAGAGCCGCGATCCGCCAACCGCCCCCGTCGAAATCCCAAGAAACCGAAACCCTAAGATTCCCCAGAATTCGCGCGCGCTTCGCAAACTCCGTTTCTAACTCGCACTGCCACCCCAGGGGGTCGGCGGTGCAGCGTCAGCCAATGAATAGGGCCCTCGCTGGAAATATCCTCTATGTTTAGTGTCTGTGTGCGTCTTTTTTTCAAAACAAAAAAAAACTGTCCATGTACAGGCCCTCAAGTTCGATTGCCCAGAAATGTAGATCTTTGCAACCATAACACATATGGGAGCGGCTCCTGTTCAAAACGGGGCTTTCGCTGAAAACCTCGGTGACCTTTATGCTAATACCGTTTCGCGTGTCATATGATTCGCTACTAAATGTTGCCAGGCAGTCCATGATCAAACCGGGGCTATCGCCTAGAGTGCCAGGCCTATAAAGGGGGCTGGTCTGTCAGACGGGCGCCGCTTGTAATTAAAGAGAGCGCCTGTATGGGACGTGTGAGAGGGGGATGTCAGACGGCAGGGTGGATTGCAGCATCGCTGGTGCAGCCTGGATTTACGCAGGTCCTCCTCCTCCCACCTACTTCTGGCCATCCACAACCGCATCCTTCTGACCCCCCTTTTGAAAAGAAAGCTGGAGCTTTGCCCCGCTGGAACAGGAACGGTTCCCTGCCACGGCTTTCGAGGGGAACAGCGTGCGCAACGTTCGACTGAAGCGGGAGAATGTCGGCCCCGCGCCGCTTCTTCCGAAGCCACGCAAGAACGGAGACCCTGGCCAAGATACTGCTACGTTATGCTGCATCCTCGGGGGGCCGTGTCTGTCCCCTCTCGGTCCTAGCCGCGTCGAATCGGTGTTGAACACATGTCGGACTCGTCGTATCCATGTCGAATCCGTGTCGTCGACTCCGCTTCGAATCCACGCCAAATCCGCGTCAAGTCCGCATCGAGCCCGCGTCGGGCACAAAGAGACGGCACCAATTTCGGGACAGGCGAAGTCCCCCGAAGATGCAGCGCAACTACCTCACAGCTCGCCATCGAAACAGTCTCGCGCCCTCCAGAACACGTCCGAGGTCGAGGAGGGGCGCCCCAGGGGGGGGGGGGGGCGCTCCTTCGCCGCCCAGTGCCACGGAGATAGCGGTCGCAAAGGATGTTACGGCAGCAATTCGGTCCGACGATCTCCTGTGCTCCAGCGAAGCCGACCTGAACTGTGCGCCAATCGGTGTCCTTCAAAACGCGTCCCACATGCCCCCTCCCCTCCACAACCCCCTTCCCCTGCCAACATGTCTCCCCCTCACCATCCAGAACCAGCAGAACCAAAACAGCACAACATCAAAGCAGGTGTTACCCCACAGAACAGCACCCAAGCAAACCACATGCGCGCCCCGGCCCCTCCGAACCCACACCGCAGACCTTCCGTAAGAGAGAGAGGAGGAGGAGGAGGAAGGAGGAGGAGGAGGAGGAGGAGGAGGAGGAGGAGGAGGGGAAGGAGCAGGAGGAGGAGAAGCAGAAGCAGCAGCAGGAGCAGAGAGAAGGAGCAGGAGGACGAGGGGTCCAGAGCCCGAGGACGTCACTGCACGAGACCCGCGACGCGGCCGACCGCGGCCGCTGCTGCGGCCCCCCGCCTCGGCAGCGCCGCCTGCCGTCAGGCACGCATTCCAGGCACGGGCGAGCCTGAGGGGAGAGCCGCATGGGGAGAGGAGGGCACGCGAGGCCCCTCGTGGGCGGGCGCGCGGCTGCGGCAGCCAGGCGTCTCGTCTCCTCCTCCTCCTCCTCCTCCTCCTCCTCCTCCTCCTCCTCCTTCCTCTCCTCCTCCTCCTCCTCCTCCTCCTCCTCTTCCTCCTCCTCCTCCTCCTCCTCCTCCTCCTCCTCCTCCTCCTGCTCCTCTTCCACCTCCTGCTCCTCCTGCTCCTCCTGCTCCTCCTCTTTCTCGTCCGCATTCGTCTCCCTCCTCCTATTCATCCTCCTCCTACCCCTTCTCCCCCTCCCCTACCACGTGCTGCTGCAACACTCGAGGTCGCTCATCCCCCCAGTGGAAGTGCGAGGCAGAGCCGAGAGGGGAGGGGAGGGGGGCAGGGGAAGCAGGGCGTGGCGGCTTTGGGGGCGGGAGGCGGGACGTCGAGAGACGGGAGAATCGGCGGCGAGCGAGGGGGGGACGTGAGAACGGACAGAAGGCCCTCTCACTCAGCAGGCGGGGGCCTTCTCAGAAGGCCGTGCCCTGACCCTGCCTCTCTGGCTCTTCGGGGAAACTCAGGATGCTTCTCATGAGGGTGGGGGGACTTCCGCGCCTTCTGAGAAGGCCTGCCCCTTCTCACTTCCCCCCCGGGCTCGCCGCAGAGAGAAGGCAGGAGGCGCTCGGATCGAAACGCTCACGCAAGCGAGCCGCGGCATGGGGGGCGCACTGCGACCTTACAGCCATCGTGCCACCACGAGGAGCGCCGAGGACGGACCGGAGGGGCTTCGGGCCACGGAGGAGGAGGAGGAAGAGGAGGAGGAGGAGGAGGATGAGGAGGAGGAGGAGGGGGATGAGGAGGATGAGGAGGAGGAGGAGAGAGGAGGAGGAGGAGGAGGAGGAGGAGGAGGGCCTCGTCAGCCACGGCTGGGCTCCCCCGACCGAGGTCCCAAGGGGCGGCCCGAAGAGTGCAAGGGCCCCTCCCGGGCACGAGGCCGGTCCTCACCTCGGCGCCCTGCCTTCTGGTCTATGCTGCCCGGTGCTGCCGCTGCCGCTGGCGATGCTGCTGCTCAGAGAACGTCACCAACGGAAGGAAGGCGGCCGGGCAGAAGGCGATGGCAGCAAGTGAGGACCGCACAACCCACCCCCAGCCCCACCCAGGGCACCCACCTCCGACCTGGTGATCCAGGGTGCCCTGGGCTGGGGGTGGGGGTGGGTTGTAAGAGCCGCGGGGCCCAAAAACCCACCCCCACCCCCACCCAGGGCACCCTGGATCACCAGGTCGGAGGTGGGTGCCCTGGGTGGGGCTGGGGGTGGGTTGTGCGGTCCTCAGCAAGTGTCCTCCTCGTCGCCTCTTGCCGCTCGCTCCCGAACGCTGAGCGGCCTGAACCATCACCCGCCGCCGTGAGGTTGGCGACTCCCCGGAGCTGCACGCCTCCTGCAACGGGAAGCCGCGTGTGCAGAACATTCGCCGTCGGCCAAGAGCGCATCCTGCGATCTGGAAACGCATGTGGGCGACGAAGGGAAACGGTTCTTACGCAAGACGGCATAGATCGACCGTACACTGTGGCTTACGCGGGCCGCCGCGCAGAACGCCACACGTGAAGCGAGGGCGCTTACGCGCGACCTCGCGCGGGCAGCTTGCGCATGAATGTGTTTCTTGCACCGTGCAATGTGCGTTGCTAGCTGTGCGTCAGGGGGTGCTATTTGAACGCGACCCCCCAATTGCGCAAAGGGCACCGCAACAGACCAGTGCAGTGGACTCTGGCCATGAAAATGGCACTCGCAGTAGAACCCACGGAGAGGATCTGCGAGGAAACCGGATTACAGCAAGACCTAAGACAAAAGAATTCCCTTCAAGACGCGGAACTTCCTTCCGCCGGCCAAACTGAAGAATACTCGAGGCGATCCTCCCCCCAAGATGCACAAGAACGTACGACAAACACGAAAAATATTAGGGCTCCCTCCCTGAACCGACCTTGGTGCGACCACACCTCAACGTGAACGGAGGAGGGTATGGAACTAGCCACAAAGATGACCACAACGATTGAAGCCCATCTGCCTCTGCCTCCTCCTACTCCTCCTCCTGCTTTTCCTCCTCCTCTCTTTCCTCTTCCTCCTCCTTCCCCTCCCACCTCTTCTTCCTCCTCTCCTCCTCCTCCTCCTCCTCCTCCATCCTCCTCCTCCTCCTCCTCCTCCCCCTGCCTCCTCCTTCCTCCTTCCTCCACCTCCTCCTCCTCCTCCACCTCCTCCTCCTCCCCCATCCTCCTCCTCCTCCTCCTCCTCCTCCTGATTACCCTCCTCCTCCCCCTCCTCCACCACCTCCTCCCTACCTTAGAATAAACTAGCTGTTATCAGCAGTACTTGTTTACGTATTATTAAATGTAAGTATACCTGTAGCGCTGTTATCAACCTTGGTTTTACTGTTGCTCGTCTGATTAATCCTAATAAAACGGTTCGGTATGATGACGCGCATTCGATTTCTGATTATCAGCCGCACGATTATTAGTATTCACATTGGCCTTGAAGCGCTCTTACTCGTAAACATAATGGTACTAGACACGGTCGTCGCCTTATCACTTGGTTTACGACTATGACTACGCCTACTACAACTACAACTGCTACTTCTACTACTTCTACTACTTAGTATTCTTCTTCTTCTACTACTACTACTACTACTAATACTACTACTACTACTACGGCTACTACTACTATTACTACTACGAATTATCATATGACTGCTACTACTACTACTACTACTACTACTACTACTATTACTACTACTACTACTACTACTACTACTACTACTACTACTACGTTGACTGCCACCACTACGACTACTACTACTACTACTACTACTACTACTACTACTACTACTACGACTAATACTTCTACTACTACTACTACTACTACTACTACTACTACTACTACTACTATTAAATACAATCACTAACTACTAACTCTACTACTACTACTACTACTACTACTACTACTACTCCTTATCTAGGCTACTGGTCTGTTGCTGTAAGACTACTACGACTACTACTACGCAACTACTACTTTACTACTAACTATTACTACGCCGACTACTACTACTACTATACACTACTACTACTACTACTACTACTACTACTACTACTACGGCTACTACTACTACTACTACTACTACCATTACTAGTACTAGTACTACTACTACTACTACTACTACTACTACTACTACTAGTACTACCGCTACTACTACTACTACTACTACTACTACTACTACTACTACTACTACTACTACTACTACTACTACCATTACCACTACTACTACTACTACTACTACTACTACTACTACTACTACTACTACTACTACTACTACTACTACGACTACGACTAAGACTACGGCTATTACTACGACTATTACTACTACTACTACTACTACTACTACTACTACTACTACTACTACTACTACTCCTACTACTACTACTACTACTACTACTACTAATACTACTACGACTACGACTACGACTACGACTACGACTACGACTACGACTACGACTACTACTACTACTACTACTACTACTACTACTACTAGTGCGTCTTAATGTGCTGGATGTAAGGAATACTAGTCGTATTCGTACTGATGTGGTTCGAAATAATGCGAGTCTTATGCTTAGAATACGTGTAGTATGATTCGTCATGTTCGTTGTCTGGGTAATAACATCTGTAGTCGCATCATTAGTCGTATCGTTAGTCCGAAACTGCGTATCACTAATGGTAGTAGTGCGATTCGTGTGTGTCATCGTATTCGTCTGTCCGTCTCAATGCTAGTCAAAGTATGAGTACAAATAGAATGATGAGCTAGTCGCCTTCGTATTCTTAGACTTTGCAATACTGTTCCTCCTCGTCTCCGTCATCCTCAACTCCTACTCCTCCCTCTCCTCCTCCGCATCCTCCTCCTCCACCATCTTATCATCCTCCACCTCCTCCTCCCCCCCCACACCCTCCTCCTCCTCCTCCTCCTCCGCCTCATCCTCCTCCTCCTCCTCCTCCACCTCTTCCCACCCTCCTCATCAACATACTCATCAGCATCACCAGCAGCAGCATCAACATCCTCATCAACAGCATCAGCATCCTACTCATCAGCAGCAGCATCAGCATAAGCATCAGCATCAGCGTCATCATCATCATCATCAACATCCTCGGCATCCTCATCCTCATCATCATCATCATCATCAGCATCATCAGCATCACCATCACCATTAGCATCATCATAAGCATCATCATCATCATCATCATCATCATCATCAGCATCATCACAATCGCCGACATAATCACCATCATCAGCAGCAGCGTCATCAGCATCATCATCATCATCATCATCATCGCCAGCAGCATCATCATCATCGTCATCAGCATCACCATCAGCATCACCAACAGCATCACACTCAGCAGCAGCAACATCATCATCGTCATCAGCATCATCACCATCACCATCATCAGCATCATCGGCATCATCATGAGCAGCAGCATGAGTAGCAGCAGCAGCCTGGACAGCATCGTCGGAAGCATCAGCATTAGCAGCATCATCATCACCATCCTCGTCGTCATCATCATCGTCATCATCAGCATCAACATCAGAATCATCAGCAGCAACAGCATCAGCATCATAAGCATCTTCATCAGCATAAGCAGCATCATCATCAGCATCATCAACATCATCATCGGCATCGGCATCGGCATCGTCATCGTCATCAGTATCAGCATCAGCATCAGCATCATCATCAGCATCATCATTATCATCCTCGTCGTCATCAATATCATCGTTGTCATAAGCGCCACTCTCATCGTCGCCATCGTCATCACCATCAACACCACCATCATCATCACCATCGTCATCGTCACCCTGGTTGTCGCCATCCTCATCAGCATCATCATTGCCATCTTCATCACCATCATCAGCATCAGAAGCAGCATCGTCACCGTCATCGTCATCATCATCATCATCATCATCAGCAGC